AGTAGGTATAATAAAAGGTTCAGTTGATGCCAATGTCTTAATTACAGCCTGTGCCATACTAGTATTTGTTTGGAGTTTTGGCGAGAACTTGACCAGCGGCGGATTACTACTCCTGTATCATTATCCGACTTCATTGTTTAAATAATGGTTTGAAGTAGATTTTCAACCGACTTCAAAATGGAGGAGGTACCCAATTCGACTGTATTTTTTATGTGTTACCTCATAACTTTTTTCTAGGTGAACCAGTTTTGTTGATTCTTTTTTTATTTGATCAAGGTCTAACCAACAGTTTTTGAGTTATCCTTAATAATTTATACATTAAAGTCGGTAGTACCGAATTTTTAATTTACCACTTGCTATACGTAAAAGCGGTACGATTTTGTGAACTATTAGTGAAATCGAAACAAGTGCTCCGATGGTGATGTGACCCTCAAGATAAGGGATCTCATCGGCTGTCTGCTGGCTCAAGCTGCCGTTATTGTTAAGAAGTTTTGAAACAAATTATTTTAAACGATAATTTTCTTAATAAACTTGACACTGGCAAAAATACAGGAGTACAAGTCCAGTACCAAAGAAAAGAAAGAACCCCATAAGAAACAAGAGTAAGCCTGTGAATAGTCGTGGGACTAATCTAATATGATATTTACTTTCTTAAATTAGTTAAAGTAATAGGTAAGTATTTAGTAAATATTGGGTAGGTAAGTAAATATGTGGTAGGTTTTCGCAAGTCAATAAAAACCAGGAATGAATTTATAAAACGATGATTATTAAATAAGCACAAAAATTTTATTAATTTACTGCACCTTATAAAGGTTCAATTTATTATATAGCTGTCTATTAGTTAGGTTTATTGCAGTTTTGCGAAAAAGATATTTTACCCTAATATCAATATATTTTTGGTGATGATGTAATATGATTTGATGGACGAAGCACTGAAATGGAACATACAGAACTCCTAATGTTGGCACACAGTTAAGTCTTTTTATCGCTATTACCCACTTATTTGTTAATTTACGGCTTTTCGGAAAACTGTAATTAGATAAGTATTTAACCATATAAAACTTTGTTATGTTCTTACATAATGTTTTATTTTATGATCCATATCCCCTCAGGTGTCACGCCATTTTATGTTTTTACGCTTCAAATGTCAGGGCCCGTTCGGGAGGTCGCGTGATACCGGTAGGCGCTAATGTAAACAATGGTATCTTTTTACTTTTGTATGCCAGCTATATATAATAAAACTTATACGCATCGATTCGTTATGAATTAAGATATGTATTTGATTCTTCTTTATAAATATTAAATTCTATTTTTATAATATTATCAATCTCATTTCATATATAAATGCAGGGCAACATGGTCCATCATAAAAAGTGAAATTTCAAATACAAGATTGGATAATAATATTAAGGATCTAAAAATAAATGATAAAAACCTAACAAACCCTTATGACATAGCCACCGCTTTTAACAACTATTTTATTGACATGACTAATTATATTATATCTAATAATGATAAAACAGAAAACATTACGCCTGATAATACATTATCATTATCAAATTCAATATTTCTTAAACCCATGTCGAAAGATGAGGTGAATAAAGAGATCATGTCCTTAAATAACACTGCCTCGGAAGGTTACGATGGAATTAATACCAAAATAATTAAAGCATGCGCATGCGAACTTGTTGACATTATGACTTATTTAATTAATTTATCATTTTCGACAGGAACATTTTCCGACAATTTAAAAATTTCTATTGTAAAACCGTTGTTTAAAAAAGGTAAAAAAGACGATACCAACAATTATAGACCGATAACTCTTATACCTATAATATCAAAAGTTTTTGAGAAATGTTTTTATAAGAGATTAATGGAGTTTTGTGAAAGATTTAACATAATCAAAAAAGAACAATACGGCTTCCAGAAAAAGAAATCTACAACGCTAGCAACTTTTAATCTTATAAAAATAATAATTTCTAGTATAAATTTAAGTAAAGCGTTTGACTTCGTCACACATAGCTTTCTTCTAAATAAACTAGAATCGTGTGGAATTAGAGGGATAGCACTAAAGTGGATTTCATCTTGTTTATCAAATCGACGACAATGTGTTACTATTGATAAAATGGTAGGAAATGAAATACTATCCTTCTCGTCCCAGTACAGGGAAAAGAATTACGGTGTTCCTCAAGGCAGCGTTTTAGGGCCAGTATTATTTTTGTTATATATAAATGACATAACTCTAGCGACAAATCATAAATGCATACTGTATGCGGACGATATCTCCGAAATTATAACATCCCACAAAAATAGTAATTCATTAGATAATCATGAAAAGGAAATAAAATAGCATGTGGCGGCGCTGTCGTCGCGCCACAAGCGAAACACATCGAAGCCTAAATCGCGCTATCAAAGTTCCGAAATTAAATCAGCATATATAGAATAGCTCCGAACTACCAATCGGAGCGCTGGCCGCTCCCCGGGCAGAACACCTTGCCCGGCGGGAGATCTCCCCTTTTCCTTCCACCCGCCACAGTGTTGGTTGCGTGATATGAACACGCAACCAACAATCTTCGGAAACTACAATTTCAAAAACTTCGTCATCTTACTCAAGTACCCCATTCATTCGCTCCCGAGCAGACATTGTCTGCAGTCTTCACATTCTGCAAGCCATCTAGCTTTACAAAGGTTCATCGCAGCACTGGAATAATAATGCTTCCTGTTCCTTCAAGCTACTCTCTGCGCTACAGTGTTCGGCACGGCTCTGAGCCTTACTGCTCGCCTCTGCTTCACGGCACTCTCGCAGATTACTTGCCTTCTTCTCGACTCACCGCAGACTACAAGGCAATCCCTGGCACTTGCTCCGGCTCTTCGTTCTCACCGGCATCACTTGCAAGTGCGTAGTACGGCATGCATTACACACCGGCATATCATTCGCACCGGCGTCACTTGCCCTTACGCACACAGCATGCATTCCCCACCGGCATTTAAGGACGCACCGGCAATCGGACTGCACTATCGACCTCCGGTCTGAGCAGGGGGGTGATGTGGCGGCAAACAAATCAAATTACATTCATTTTAATAAGATAAAACTATTTTTAGTCTAAATATTAATAAAATTGACGAAACAGAACATAACTAAATTTCTTGGTGTGATTATAGATCGAAATTTAGACTGGAAGATACATATAGATGAGCTATGTAAAAGGGTTAATAGTTTTGTATATGCGCTACGTACAGTAAAAAATGTTACTAATAAAAAAAACAGCCCTAATATCCTATCGGGCGTATATTGAATCCATACTCAGATATGCTATAATAGTGTGGGGTAATAGCACAGATTGGCGTAGGGTATTTATCGCACAAAAAAAGTGCATAAGGGCGATATGTGGTATCTCAACAAGAGAATCTTGTAAGCCAAGATTCAAAAATCTTTGCTTACTAACTCTGCCATCGTTATATATATTTGAGATAGGTAAATTTGTAAAACAGCATACAGCTTTATTTAAAAAGTCCTCTGATGTTAATCCAAGGCTTAAAAGAAATCCGAATAGGTTAGTTCTAAGCAAAGTTCCGAAATCAACTAAATATAGTAAAAGCTGTTTATCAATGTGTGTACGTATATACAACAAAATACCTGACGAAATTAAAACAATAAATAATATGAATTTATTTAAAAATAGACTGTACCTTTGGTTAATTGACAAAATTTTTTATGACATTAACGAATTTCTGACATTGTAAGCCATATTCTGACATTATATTCTGGCCATTAGTGTGTTGTAATTCTGACAATGTATAATATGATTTGAAATAATGTTTAATTTGTTAATTTTTAATATCATATAGGTCTTTTTTTTGTTTAAAGTTTCTTATTGTTTAAACTCATAATTTAAATATAATTTGCATGCTATGTCATATTAAAATAGCAAAACATGAGAGCACAATACAACTAAAACATCTGTATCTATATTTACCATGTTTTATGCAAATAAAGATTATTATTATTATTATTATTCAAAATTGCGTGACAATTTAATTTTGCCGGTTTCTTGTACATAAAGTGTAAGGATTATGAAATTAAGCCATTATATAAAACGGTATTTCTTTTATTTGCTTAACAATACAACATTATATCAAAAGAGATTAAAAAATCACACCCTATTTATAAATTTTTTTCACAAAAATAAAAACAAATTAAACAATCGAAAATGTTCAATTCGAAAACGTTTGAAAACCTTACATTACGGACTTGTCATTAATCTATGTTGTTGAAAGATTAAAACAGCGTTTTATCTTTGAACAACGTAAAGACACGGCGTGTTTAATTGAGAAATGGGCACACGGGGTCGGCTGACACACGGGCATGCATGCGCTGTCAACCCGCTGCGGGTGTCATGACACTTGAGGGGATATGGATTAGGAATACAAAGGGTCTTTATTTCTAATACTATAATTGTAGTAATATAATTATTACGAAACAAATCATGTTAAAAAAAACGTAGCTCAGCACTAGTTCTAATTCGGGGAAAACCCGAGGCGCGAGCGCGGGGCACGTGCTTACATCCTTTGACGCCATAAGAGATTTTGTTATAATCAGTGTTTTCTTATCGGAATATTACATACCGATGAAAAGAAATATCAGTTCTTATTTTGCTTTCTTGAATCGTTTTTGCAACTTGACATTGCACATTTTACCATGATCACTAAAATTCTATTAAAAATCATCGAGAGAAATAATTAACGCGCGTGACGTTTCGTGACTAATAACGTCATCCTGGCCATTTCGAAACAGTTCTAACGCGTTTTTACAGTACTGACTTGCTTACGCGCGCTTTATAGCTTGCTTATAAATCATCTAAGATGGTGACCCTTTATAAGGCCTTTTTTTATGCCGTTTTTCTGGTAAAAAATTAAAATAGTTATCAAATAATAATCGCCAATAATTGTTTATCTTCTAACTTCTAACTTTATAGTCACTATAAAACAAATCCACCTACCGTTTTCCTCTTTATGCTTAACTTTAGCTTCCTTCTTGGCTAGTTTCTCTTGCTCCTTCTTGTCTAACTTTGCTTGCTTCAACTCTTTACACTTCTCTAATGTAGGCTTGCCTTCCAAGCCCGCCGCGACCAAAAGCTCAAGCATTTTTGCGACCCGCTCCTTGTTTTTTGTGCAACCTGTAACAATATGATTACTGTTACGTAATTTATATATTTATAAGGAAACTGCAGTTTTTGAAGTTATATTTCTTATGGCGCGTTTGAGAAAAATGATGAGAGTGAATTTTTTGCGATGCGCACGCACACCGACGCATAAAAACGACACCATAAAGTTGTTACGATGCGCGCGCGCACCGAAACCTAAAAGCGACAACTTCAGTTGGTAATTGTCTGTCAACTGTAAAGTTTTCGTGAGAACTGATCTATATTCAAGGTATGCATTTATAAAACGTGTTGTAAATTTAGTTATTTTTGTTTTGTTACGCTAAAGAAGTAAAACTTCTTACGTGCGTACAAGTACATACACGCGTTTTTTTTTTTTCATAAAATTGAAGTGAGAAATGAAATTACAGTTCACCTGACGGTAAGTGGCTACTGTTTTGTGTGGCTATTATTAATATAATAATAAAGATTGTTCACTTTGTAGTGATATATTTGATGACCAGTTTGAGAAATGAAATTACAGTTCACCTGACGGTAATTGGCTACTGTTTTGTGTGGCTATTATTAATATAATAATAAAGATTGTTCACTTTGTAGTGATATATTTGATGACTAGCTGTTCCCCGCGACTTCGCTCGGGTGTTAGAATTTTTATGTTTTTGCGCGGAACCTTTAGTTCTTTTTCTAAAATAAAAGTAGCCTAAGTTACTCCTTATGAAATCAGCTATCTGCCAGTGAAAGTCCCGTCAAAATCGGTCCAGCCGTTTCGGAGATTACCCGGAACAAACAGACAGACAGACAGACAAAAATTTTAAAAATTGTTGTTTAGTTATAAGTACCGTATTTACTTTCATATGCATTTAATAAAAAACTGTAATTTTGACATTACAAAAAGACACTTCAATTTTATTTATTTGTATAGATGATTACAAATAACATCATTGTAGTTCTTGAAAAGTTAAGTATATTTGCTTATTAATCTTCTACATACACAAATCAATTGCTGTCCGTTAGTCTCGCTAAATCTCAAACTCGTTTTTACAGATTATGATGAATTTTTTTGTGGGTGTTTGAATGGGATGGTTTAGATTCACATGTGGACCCGTTAGGTGGCGCTGTTATCGAGATCCATAAATCACCCGTGCGAAACCGGGCCAGACCGGTATATAATATATAATATAATCAATAATAAACGACCACAGTAACAAGTGTTGTGTAAAAAAGTTGTTTAATTAATAATACACTTAATACACTTCATTTTACCCAAAGCACACAGAATCACACAATATCCAAACAGCTACAGCAGTCCATGGACACCAGCAGACAATTTCGAGCAAGGTTAATAATGCATTCTTACTTCTAAAAAAATTGTAAGCACTGCTGTTTGGCGGCAGAAATAGGAAAGAGGGTGCTTACGCAGACGGATTCCTAGACGGAAAAGTAGTACTGTCAACTAGTATTAGGAGAATATCTCGTCTGCAGGAAATTTCAAGAAAAAATTCGACGAAGTTTTTAACGATCTATAATTGTTGTCTTTCTGTGCCAAAAATATTGAGCAAGGTAGCCGGGAGAACAGTCAGCCTATGAAAAGCTCATTCAAAACTGGACCGATTCTAATATATTTTCGTCAATTTAGTCATCCAAAAACATAAACAGAGGAATATATTTGTATAGACTAAATACCCTCTTAATGAAATGATGTGTTATTTAAAAACTCGGTTATTAATGTCAGGATGCATAAGCTACGGGTCCTTTGCTTGAAAATTTTCGCTATTTTCTGAAGAGAAAAAAACAGGATTAGGCTGTCGTCAAAATCTACAAACTTCGCAATGTTCTGAGTTTTATGAAAAAATACAATTCAGACTAGGCTGTATGGTTTAAGACCTTTGCCTGTTTTAATTGGCGAATCTTAACAACAAGTTATTATTTAACAACAGTTCACTCACCTTCAACCAGTTTCTTGTAATCAAATCGTATGCCGGCGGCCTTACAGAATTTCTTCATGTCAGTTATTCCAGGCTGCCGCAACTCTGGAGGGACTGGAGGTCGACCCCGTCGCCCTGGCGTTCCCGGTGTACCCGGTGTTCGTGGAGTCGAGTTCTTTGAGCCCTTCGGTCGTCCCGGACCACGTTTAAGTGGTTGATCCTGGAATAGAACAGAATTTTTAATTCTAATTGTTGATTAACGGTGGTAGAGCCACACAGCAGTTTTTGCTGTTGCACGTATGGGCCGGCTCGAGCCGAGTTGGTACCACGACCTCACAGAATACCGGCGTGAAGTAGAAGCTCTGCTTCTGCGTTTCGTCTGGTGAGTGCAGGTGGCCTGAGGCCCAATTCCCCCCCCCCCATCAACATGGTAGCGGAATTACACGTTAGACTACCCCAAGAGGGTACCAGCACCCCTGGAGAATCCCTCGCTGAGCATCCACGACCATGTTATTCCACTCCTGAGCGTGGGTGCTCAGACTGCCCCGCGTATTCTGAGGGGGGGGGGGGGGGGCAAATTCCGCTCAAAAACAACTGCTCGGGGCAAACTGACCAACAAGACCAAGGCGACCCCTGCCACGCTATCCGTGAATTTCTGCAACATCAGGGGACTCGAACCTAAACTCCTACCATCTCGAGACGGCGAAGCCAGCCTTGCTCTTTTTGACCTAGACGCAGGTTTCCTCTCCGGCTTCAAATTGGAGCACTCCTTTGTGCCTCGGGCTGGAGTTTGCGTGTATGCAGGAGAGGATATCTGTTCTCGACGCGTCGGCAGTCTTGAAGGTTCGGACCTGTCCATCCTTTGGCTACGCGTAGGCAGCGACGACCATCCGCGCGTCTAGGGGTGCCTCTATAGGTCCCATAGTGGTAATGCTGAAACAGACCGACTCATTGAGCACGTCCAAATGGCTACAGATTCTTTACTACAACAGGTCCCATCCGCAGAGATCGTGATCCTTGGCGATTTTAACGCCCACCACGCCGAATGGCTCGGTTCACGTTTAACCGATCATGCGGGGAGATCTGTTTATGACTTTGCTTTGGCATATGGTCTGACACAACTGGTTACTTCGCCTACGCGGATTCCAGATGTGGAGGATCATAACCTTCCCTGTTGGACCTTCTGCTGACCTCTCATCCGGACGGATATCAGGTTTCTGTCGATGCCCCTCTCGGCTCTTCGGACCATTGTCTGATCCGGAGTGTGGTGCCACTCACGCTCCCCTCGCGGTTGCGTTCTGCAGGTTGCCACCGTGTTTGGCATTACAGGTCGGCGGATTGGAACGGAATGCGGTCGTTCTTTGCATCGTACCCATGGGGGCGGGTTTGCTTCTCGCCTGATGATCCCAGCGCTGTTGCTGACTCTGTCACTGATGTAGTGCTACAGGGAATGGACTACTATTTGTTCCATAATCTGTGGTACCCATCGGAGGCAGATCTCAGCCTTGGTTTGGTCGCTCCTGTAAGACTGCATTACGCAGTAAGCAGGAGTGTTATCAGGCCTGGGCTGCGGCTTCAGCGACTCGGGATGTAAACACCAGCACACTTAAAAAGAAGTATAACTTCGCCTCCAGGTCCTTCAAAAGAGTTATTGCCAAGGCAAAGACAGAGCACATGGGCAGAATTGGCGAGAAACTAGTTCGCCTTCCTTCTGATCTCTTGCCAAGGCTGTCCAAGGGAATTTCTGTAAGCCATCACTACCATCTTTGCACAGGGAGGACGACTCACTGGCCCAAGACGCAAAAGACAAAGCCGACCTTTTAGGCTCCCTTTTTGCGTCCAACTCGACTCTTGATGACGGGGGGAAAAACCCCCGACCATCCCGCGGTGTGAGTGCTCCATGCCGGATGTGCTGTTCTCACAGCGCTCTGTTCGCAAAGCACTCCTCTCCCTGGACATCCAGAAGTCGAGTGGGCCTGACGGAAGCCCCCCAATTGTGCTGAGGACGTGTGCTCCTGAGTTGGCACCGGTCCTAACGCGTCTTTTCCGGTACTCCTACTCCCAAGGCGTAGTCCCGAATTCATGGAAGATAGCTTTTGTCCACCCGATCCCTAAAAAAGGCGACCGCTCAGACCCGTCCAACTATAGGCCTATCGCGATCACCTCCTTGTTCTCCAAAATAATGGAATCAATTATTAACTGCCAGCTCATGCGGTACCTTGAGGATCACCAGCTGATTAGTGACCGCCAATACGGTTTTCGTCGGGGTCGATAAGCTGGTGATCTTCTGGTCTACCTGACCCATAGATGGGCAGAGGCAGTAGAGTCCAATGGGGAGGCGTTGGCCGTTAATTTGGACATTACGAAGGCTTTCGATCGGGTTTCGCACAAAACGCTTCTTTCGAAGCTCCCTTCCTATGGGCTTCCCGAGAAATTGTGCGATTGGATCACCAGCTTCCTTGCAGATCGGAGCATCAAGGTCGTTGTAGACGGTGCATGCTCCGATACAAGCCTATTAACGCCGGTGTTCCACAAGGCTGTGTACTATCACCAACGCTGTTTCTTCTACATATCAATATGTTGCTAATTGGTAACATTCATTGCTATGCGGATGACAGCACTGGTGATGTTTTATACACCGGCCGTGCCAATATTTCTCGGTAAAACGTCGCCGAGTACCGGCACAAACTTGTGTCTGAAGTCGAGTCTTTGCTGAACAAAGTCTCGGATTGGGGGCGACTAAATCTAGTCCAGTTTAATCTTCAGAAGACACAAGTTTGCGCGTTTACCACTAAAAAGAACCCCTTTGCCGTATCTCCTCAGTTTTAAGGCACTCCCCTTCTTGCCTCAGCCAGTATCGGAATCCTCGGAGTCGACATATCGAGTGACGTGCAGTTTCGTGGTCACTTGGAAGAGAAGGCCAAATCGGCCTCTAAAAAGCTTGGCGTGCTCAGCAGAGCGGGACAGTATTTCATGCCGGCACACAGCTTGCAACTTTACAAGGCGCAGGTTCGGCCTCACATGGAATACTGTTCCCATCTCTGGGCAGGGGCTCCCCAGTGCCAGCTCCTTCCACTTGACCGTATCCAGCGCACAGCGGCTCGAATTGTCGACGAACGAGTCCTTTCCGATCGGCTCGATTCATTGGCGATTTGTTCGTATTAATCCCAGCCGCCAAATTTCACGAACGCACATCGCGGCAGAACTCCCGATACCATCCACACCATCTGGATGATTGGCGGTCCACCACTGTGCGATTTAGAAGATGTTTTCTTCCTCGCACGACTTTCTTGTGGAATCGATTACCATCAGCGATTTTTCCGGACCGATGCAACTTAGGGACCTTCAAGAAAAGAGCGTACACCTTTTTAAAAGGCCGGCAACGCATCTGCGATTCCCTCCCTGGTGTTGCAGCTGTTCATGGGCGGCGGTAGTCACTTACCATCAGGTGAGCCGCATGCTCGTTTGCCCCCTCTCCTATAAAAAAAGTTATTAAAATAAACTTTAATTCTTTTTTAATTACAGTTAGTTTCAGGTTTCAACTAGAATCTGTTTCAGGAAAGTAGTTCCTCAGAAATATACGAACAAAACTGTAAAGTATGGAATTTTACAGCAAATGTCAAATTTCGCGAAGACTGTGACACCGAGACTAAAGGACTTCTTTAATTAGACGACAATCCTTAAATAAACCCGAGACTGTCATAAACCACATTTTCTAATAAGACGAATTATGTCTACGTTATTGCCTAAAGAGGTATTTGTTACCCGAATAACATAAATAAAGTACTTACGTCATCACTCTCTTCTGACCCGCTCCCTGATGAGCCTGACGAGTCGTCTGATGATGATGAATCCACCGTTGTCACCTGCTGAGTACAAATAACCGTGTATAGCACATAGTAAATATAACCGTATATAGTAGCACATAGTAAATAATAAAAATTAAGACGGCTTCTAATAAAATTAAAATGACAAGGAGTATAATTAATAGCGAAACTGGTAAGATCATCTCTCGCAATTCAAATTACCAGTTAAGTGTTAACAACAAATTAACTGTATCGGATCAGGACGTAGCAATGGTTTTTGAGAAATATTTTACTGATATTCCGATATTGACCACTAAGTCACTGAATTCTTCTCCTGCCGTCGCCGAATCATTACTTAAACAAAATGTAAATGCGTATACAAAGAATTTTACATTTCATAAAGTATCATCAAAAGATATTGTAAATTATTTTAAAACTATTGATGTTAAGAAAACTGCGGGTCTGTGGGGGATTTCCGTTAAAGTTGCGTCTATAATAGATACAATCGCGCCTCAGTTAGCCATTATTTTTAATACTAGTATCGAATCTGGTGTGTTTCCTGATTTAATGAAGCATAGTAAAGTAATACCTTTATTTAAATCTGGTAGTACATTAGACCCCGCCAATTTTAGACCTATTTCTGTACTACCAACACTTAGTAAGATTTTTGAAAAAAATATTCTTGATCAAATGTTAAATTTCTTTAATATAAATAATTTACTTCATAAAAATCAATTTGGTTTCACAAGGGTTAGCTCGACAACTGATGCCGGTGTTGCTACGGGGACACGCAGCTGACACTGAAATTATATTTGTTTTACAGAAGAGGACCATAAGAGCAATTTATGAATTAAAGCCTAAAGAGTCGCTGCTACAAAAATTTAAGGAAATAATATATTAACCTTGGCCTCTCATTGCATTTATGAAAATGTAATGTACGTACACAAAAATTAAAGTAGTTTTACAAAAATAAGTGATATTCATTATGTAAATACTAGGAACAGACACAAGCTAGTAGTACCAGTTACTCGACTCCATCGAGTCAGTAATTCATTCTTGGGGCGATGTATACGCTTTTACAACAAAATTCCAGAAAATATACAAAATTTGACCACCTCAAGGTTCAAAAACTTTATTAAACTAAGTTTGTATAAAAAGGTTTATTATAATATTAAGGAATTTATGGATGATAATAACCCCTGGAAATGAGGTCATCGCTACCAAGCTATTTCTAATTTGCTGTGTTGTTAATGTGTGTAACATACATGATTGTAAGCTGTTATTTTTAAAAAAAAGTCCCGCTGGGTTTCTTGCTGGTTCTTCCCAGGACAGAGGTTTTTTTTCCGAACCAGTGGTAATTAAACAAAAGAGTGACTTTCAATAAGTATTATTTATAATCCATATTGAACAAAAATGTTTCTGTTTCTGTTTCATAGAAACAACTGTTGACCGTGTACTGGCGGTGTAAGAATATCCACTATCTCTTATTGTCCCATGGCGACAGAGGGAAACAAACCACAAGATCGGCTGCAGCTTCTTTCTAATAGGAAACAACTAGAAAATATAATATAAAACTGTTAAATCATATTAGACTAATCAACAAACTAATAGTCCACTTGACGGTAAGTGGTTACTGCACCCTATGGTCATCATATAAAAGACATTTGCCGCAATCGATAGGCATTTAAAGGCTATTTACACTTGGCGGTCAGTGAATAATGTACTTAGTTACTCTTGGAATTCAGTGTGTGAACGGTCACCTTTAGACGTACCTCACTGGAGACAATCCCACGTGACTGCAACTTGGCGGCGGCCAATTTAGCGGCGGCGGCTTTCTGCGCGGCGATCTGAGCGGCGTGGGCCGCCAAGCGTTCGCGTTCGGCGTTCGCGTCGTAGTAGTTGTACAACACTTCTAAAGGCACCGGAACATCGCCGAAGTACACCTCGTTCGGAATGTGAGACGAGTCCAAACAGTCGTCGCTCCATCGCCTATAAACATCACACCCTAGTTAATATAAAAAATCCAGCCGGTTCATTGATAAAACAAAAACCTCGATATGAATACACGACTCTAAAGTACTACTAATAAGTAGCTACTGCAACCTTTGGATACCTACGTCAAAGTTTCAACGAAAATACTACTGCATTGTCACCTTCGAGGGCCAGGATAGAATTGTTCACAAGCATTCAACAGGGACCACACGCACGCAGAATCTCAGCGCGAAAAGGCAACATAATGCTACTATATTTCCTATGGTTAGTGACAAGAACTGGAGACCTTTAATGGTAAAAAGTCATTCCATCTTAGTCTTCTGGGGTGGTAACATAACTGCATTTTCATTCTTAATCTAGGACAGATTGATTTGATTCTTAACCCTAGAGGTTTGTTTCTGAAAATATATTTATATATTTGAAGCTTTTGCGTATTTTAGTTTAGTGTCGTGATAACGAATGACGTGGGTACCTCAGCACCCCAGTGTAGGAATACCACAAGTATTTTTATTTTCTCATGTATTACAGATTTCACAATTCATTTAATATAGTAGTATATTTTGAAGAAATCCTTTACATAACTTTATTTTTAATAAATTAAGTTGTGGCGGGTGGAAGGAAAAGGGGAGATCTCCCGGCTGGCAAGGTGTTCTGCCCGGGAAGCGGCCAACGCTCCGAGTGGTAGTTCGGAGCTATTCTATATATACTGCTTTAACTTCGGAACTTTGTAAGCGCGATTTAGGCTTCGATGTGTTTCGCTTGTGGCGCGACGACAGCGCCGCCACAAAGTCATTAAAATATATTGAAAATCATAATAATTAAAAGAGTTCTTTTAGTAAAAGGAATGAACACCAGACATAAATGGAGATGGAGTAGTGGAAAACCAACTAGACATCAAATTGTTTAACGAAACAAATTCTGAACGTAATGGGGAATTATTTTAAGAGCAAATAATAAGCCGGAAAACTTTTGACGTATAAATGGAAAAAAATGAACATTCTGTTTGAGTAATGACTCGGCGACAGTTGGAGAAGTATTCAATGACTCTGTTGTCAAGATAGGAATATCAGTGAAATATTTCTCAAACACCGCTGCAACTTCTTGATTTGATTTAGTCAATTCATTGTTAATTTTTAATTGATAGTTTGAGTTACGAAGTTTGTCTTTACCGGTTTCGTTGTTAATTATATTCCACGTCATTTTAATTTTATTCTTAGCCGTTTACATTCATACCACCAACATCAAACTAAGTCTGTGGTTGATTGTCACCAAGAAATTTAAAATAGTTGCAAACAAATTAATAATTATTGATAGATTGGCTGAATGAGTTGTGAATTTTATTACAAGGCAGAAAACTGAATATTTTATATTTTGTATGATATATTAATGTATGTATTCTTGAAAGTGGAAAACATCTTGTTTAATATGTAAATGTAAAAGTTTAAAGAATTACAGTCTAGGTTAGACTATTAGTTATTATTAATTTTGGTGGTTAATGTTAGGCAGCCATTAATGTGTCAAGTTTTGTTTTTTATTTATTTTTTGTGTTTAAAAAAACAAAATCAAATTGCGAATGGAATTCAATTTTAATTTGGGATTAGTTATTGGTATTTTTATCTGTGTACATTGTAAGTTGTTTTGATATTTTTCAAAGTTATGAAGATAAAAGTTTGAGAATATTGAAAATAGACAAAAATATTATTGAATACACTAGTTATAAATTGAAATAATGAAAACAATGATTCAATGAGCACTTAATATTCAGTATGTAGATTGATTAATCTCAAGAGTGATTATAATGATTTCTCATATTTATGTGAACACTACACATTTAAATAAAACTAGTTTTTATACATTTTATCGCACATATTATCCGACGTTGCGAGCACTTTACAGCACCACATAGTCATGGGGGGACTCACCAGTCGTTCAACGGTGCTGTAAAAACTAGTTTCATTGAAATGTCAAGTGTGGTTGTGACGTACCTCTTAAACTGTATCCCGGAGAAGTCCTTCCTGGTGGGGCGCACGGCGTACTGGTAGTGCGGGGGACGGGGGCGCGGCGCGGCGGCGGCGGGGGCGCGCGGTGCGGGCGCCGCGCCGCGCAGGGGCGTGGCGCCTGGCGCCGGGGCAACGCCGCGCGTGGGCGTGCCCGGAGGCTTCGGCTTGTTGGTCGACCCCTTAGGACGCCCGCGTTTCTTCGGCTGCAAGCAATCGCGAATCATTCACTCATTCGTACACGCGTTCCAGCATAAATCCACTGCTGAACATGGATCTTAGTTGCCATATTTGGTTGGCAAAACCCACCCGAGATTTACTTACTAACTGCAGTTATTTACTAAGTTTTTATCAGGATAATGTTACTGCCCATCTTCTATATCGAATACAGTAGAAAATTTAAAACACAGGTTATTTAATTTTCCAACTCCACCACTCATTCAAAAAATCGACTGACCACTACTACACAGCACTAACTAATCATCATCTGTGGTGGGTACCTATATACGACTACGTATATTTATCATAGTAAGAAATAAATCAATGTGTTACTTGCAAGCAGTAGTTTCACTCGTGCCCCTATAACGCATGCTTACCAGTGGCGACGAGGATGGGATGGAAATATCCTCCATTACCATTTTATAGGATCCACATGGACATCTTAGGACCGTTACATGGTCATATGTACTTAGTAATTGTGGATGCTTATACAAAATGGGTGGAAGTATACGAAATGCCCTCTACTTCATCGTCTGTGTTCGAAAAACTCTACGTGTATATATCGAGATTCGGATTACCTCAAACTGTCGTGACCGACAACGCAGCTACATTTACTTCATACGAGTTTTTTTTTTTCGTGGGTAGGAGTATAATAAGTAACACACGTTTTGATCTGTCTCATGCAATTTATATTTTAAAAATAGAAATTAGGATATTTTAATGTGTTACACATATATGTAATAATCATCTGCTTACCAGCCTTGATTACTTGATATATATTATCTTTAACCTGTTGTTTTTTAACAATGCACTAAACTATGGAAGCCCTCAAAGGATCCCTGTCAGCCATGTCAGAACTCTTTAATACTTGTATGAATGAGTTTCAGCAGGACTTACAAAAGACTAGTCCAACTATGGCCCCAAATACATCAATACTTTCAACGGAGTTTGCAACATTCAGAAACTTCATCTTGTCCGCTTGAAACTGTTCAAAGACAGGTTGAATTTCTTGGGAGAGAGATCGACCGCTTGGAGATGAGACGGCGCCGTAAGATTCTGCTGCTTGATGGTATTCACGAGGAGAAGTCCGAGGATACATCTTCAATGGCTGCTAATCTTATAATGGACAAGCTCAAGATATCCAATGTGTCCAACACTTCTTTTATCAGCTGCCATCGCCTTGGACGTCTAAAAGAAAAGAAGACTAGACCACAATTCGTGATCAAGTTTGGTTCTTAAAAACAAAACTGAAAGGCACGGATGTCAATATGTCTGAATTCTTAACAAAAGATCGTCACAAGGTGTTCATGGTGGCCAGGCAGAAATTTAGCATAAATAACTGCTGAACTAGGGATGGTTATATTCATACTATCGCTTGTGACGGCTCGCGCCATCAAATTGAATTGCTGGCTGAGCTCGAAGTCATCCCAGTAGCACCAGCTGATGCTTCCCAAGCACAGACGGCAGTCGCTGGAAGAAGTAGATCTCCTGACAAGGTAGTTCAACGCTCCAAGAGGGCAGTGAAGAAATGATGATGATTTGGTCTATAAACTTTAGTTCTCTTTAATAAACCGTATGTATATCACATTATGCTTTCCATCAATATTTTAGTGTTTCTGCATTGTAATTTTTGCTAACCTAATTTCTTTTCCTTTCGTATCTGTTTATCACTCTAATCTTAAGTGTTAAATAAGATTTAAGAGTTAATTAGTAAATTAGTCGGTACAATGTATCTCCATTATATAAAAGTACTATTTGATATTTATCTACGCCACTTTGAACTTTGTGTTTTTGTTTTGATTTTATTGTTCTAAGTTAGATGCTAATCTATGTTAATAATAATATTATATTATATTATATACCTATATATATAGGGAGGTAATAAATAACAATGTTTTGATCACAGATTATAAACATTGAATTGAGAGTTTTTATCACAGATTATAAAGTTTCGACTTCTTCTTAATAACTGGCTTTACGGCTCTGGGATCTAGCCCTTCTGAGCCTGAAGTTACAATATATTATAATAATTATCCTTCATAGTATACTGCTTCACAATATGTTGATGCGTCACATTGTGCAGCCCTTGGGAGATGTTGACGTCAACTTGAGCCAGCAGACAGCTGACGGTTGGCGATGGTATCTCATGGCGCCTAAGCAGACAGACACCTTATTTTGAGAATCACATCACCATCAGAGCACTTGTTTCAGTTTCCACTAATAGTTTACATGCGCGGATACTTAATACACAAAATCGCACCACTTTTACATATCAAAGTCCACTTCAAACCATTATTTAAACAATAATACAGGAGCAGCAAACCGACGCCGGTCAAGTTCCCGCCAAAACTCTATAAAGTTTCGATTTAACACATTGAGCAAAGAGTATATAATCGCTATGTTTTTTGCCTTAGAGTAATATCTTCTCGATTCATGGTGAATCACCACAGACTTAGAATATTACGCCAGTATATTCTAAGTCTATAGATTTGATCTCTCTTGGGAGTCTTAAGTGTTTTTGTAAATGAATCCATGCTCATGATGCCCTGTCAGACGTGTATTTTGTCTCCAATACTAAAAGCATAACAGTAGTTTTGACTTTAAGTTTTTATGTTTTAATATATATATATATATATACTCGCAAATTTGTGTGTTCTAATATTTTAACTACAGAACATAATTCTATTTCATGTCTGTATCGGTAATTTCAGTTTTTTCTTATCGTTGAGTACCATGTGTTATATGTATATTTCTTTCTTTATTCAATCAATTATGATATGAATCATCTATGTGTAGTATTAATTTATTTTATTTTATTTTAAATATTTGCATTATTTTCTATTCTGTTAATGCTGGTAGGTAATAGATGTAATTAAGAGTAAATCTTTGTAGTTTATAATTTTTATTTCTTTGTAGTTATTAGTATACTTTTTTAGTTTGTAGTTATTGTTTTTTTTCTTTTTGTAAAAGATACATGCCTTTTGGTGAAAGTGATCACAATCAAAGCTCCTCTTCTTTCGTTTCAGCATCCGATGTACTAAGTAATGACGACAGTTTTGAGAGCATTCCTCCATTAAATGATACTCTTGACTCCCATTTTTCTCAAGCTCTAAGAAACTTCAATATAGTTCACATAAATGCACAGAGTATTCCTTCTCAATATCTTGCTAGCTTTGTAAGTGATAACGTTCATGCAATTCTTGTTTCGGAGTCATGGTTAAAGCCATGTCTTCCATCTATATCCTATTCCATTCCAGGATTCCAGTTAATACGCAACGACCGAACTGCACGGGGTGGTGGTGGTGTTGCCATTTATCTTCGTGCGCATATACCTTTTTCCATTGTTCGTTTATGATCTCAATTTCCAGCTGAGAACGAAGCGGAATACTTATTTATTGAAGTGCTTCTTTCGCACAACAAATTACTTCTCGGAGTTTTTTATAGTCCTTCTTCCACAGTTGACTATTTTACCACATTGGATAACCTTCTTGAAGAGCTAACTCCATTATATACACATACAGTGCTAATGGGCGATTTTAATACTTGCCTTCTTAAGAATTATGCCCGATCTCTTCGGCTTAAGTCCCTTATAGAAGCAGCCAATTTAAATATCCTTCCTCTTTCTGAAACTCATTTTTTTCCTGTGTTCCATCCCTCCTTGATTTGGTTATCGTTTCTTCTCACGACCATGTTGATAAATTTGGTCAATGTGCTACCAACGCCTTTTCCTATCATGACCTTCTGTTTCTATCTTATAAAATAAGACCACCGAAAGCCAAATCAAGGTCAAAGGTCAAAAACATAGCGATTATATACTGCTTAATGTGTTAAATCGAAACTTTAGAATTTTGGCGGGAACTTGACCGGCGTCGGTTTGCTGCTCCTGTATTATTGTTTAAATAATGGTTTGAAGTGGACTTTGATATGTAAAAGTGGTGTGATTTTGTGTATTAAGTATCTTCTAAGTAAGTTCTAAGTAAGTAAGTAATCTAAGTTTCTTCTCTCGACCATGTTGATAAATTTGGTCAATGTGCTGCCAACGCCTTTTCCTATCATGACCTCCTGTTTCTATCTTATAAAATAAGACCACCGAAAGCCAAATCAAGGATACTTCTACAGCGTAATTTTGAGGAAATGGATTTGGAAAAGCTACAAAAAGATGTTGCTAATATGGACTGGAGTGTTATAACTAAGGCTTGCTCAGTGGACGAAAAGGTAGCATTGTTTAATTCATTTCTTGTTCAGCTCTATGATACACATGCTCCTGTCCGTCCAGTGCGAATACGTCATCCTCCAGCCCCATGGTTGACTGAAGATCTTAAAAGATTGATAGTTAGGAAGAATAACGCAAAGTCGAGTTACAGGTCAGATCCAAAGAATGACGGGATTCGGGAAAAGTACAGACTCCTGCGGAATCAATGCAACAAGTTGTGTAGAGATTTACGATGCTGCCATATCCATAAATCAGTACAAAACGAAGATCCATGTCATGTTTGGAACTTTTTAAGGTCCACAGGAGTTGGGGAAAACACGTTCATGCCCTATACCAAATAACGTCGATTTAAATTTGCTTAGTCAGCATTTTTCTTCTGTTTCTTGCTTGGATAATATGGCAAAATCAACAACACTTACTCAACTTTCATCGTTTCCCACTCCTGACTTTTCCCCATTTGTATTTAGGCAATTTGCAGATTGTGATGTTAGGAAACACATTCTCTCTATCCATTCTGACGCTGTCGGAAGTGATGACGTCAGTCGTAAAATGATCATTCCCTTGTTAGATTTTTTAACACTTATTATAACCTTTATCTTAAACTTTTCTCTTAAACATATCCTCATCTTCTTTGCCTAACCAATGGAAGGATGCCCAAATCATACCTATACCCAAAAAAGCAAATCCTTCAAGTTTTTCTGAATATCGTCCTATTTCGATTCTTCCTTTCCTTTCCAGTCTTATTGGTGTTGCTGGATTCAGCATTGCCTTTAAAACTGTTGATCATGACATCCTGTTAGGGATTCTGCGTTCTCTTAACATATCTCCAACGGCAATTTCCTGGTTTCATAGTTATTTGTATGGGCGCCGGCAACGTATTCGTGTCCAAGATAGACTTTCTTCGTGGCTTGATACAGTAGCTGGCGTTCCACAAGGTGGCGTCTTATCTCCTCTTTTATTCGCAATCTTTATTAATACGATTACATCCCAAATATCTTCTCTCTACCACTTGTACGCAGATGATCTCCAAATATACTTACAAACAACCATTGAAGATCTTCCCAAAGCAGTGGAATGTATCAATAAGGATCTGACAAGTATTCTCGACTGGAGTTGTTCTTATGGGTTAACGGTGAACCCTTTAAAATCCCAAGCCATAATCATTGGGAGTTCAACAATGATAAGCAAAATAAAAAAATGTCAACTACAACCCGTTGTATATAATGGAGTTCCCATCCCTTATAATAACGTTGTCAAAAATTTAGGTATCCTTTTGGATTCAAGTCTTTCTTGGGCTCCCCAAATTAATGCAGTGAGCCGTAAAATGTTTGCAGCTTATGCTTCCCTCCGGAGGCTCAATTAATTTTTACCCATTGCCACCAAAATTACACTTGCACAATCTTTACTACTCCCTATCCTCGACTATGCTGACATTTGTTACCTTGATATCACCGCAAGAGGAGCAAGTTAACAAGCTTGAGCGCCTCCAAAATCTCTGTATTCGGTTCATATTTGGACTTCGCAAATACGACCATGTCTCAGAATACCGCACTAAGCTCAAGTGGCTCCCAATCCGTCTTCGTCGGAATACTCATATACTTTCTGCTCTCTACTGCGTCTTATTTAATATAGCTAGCCCTTCCTATCTTAAAGAACGTTTTAGATTTCTCAGATCCTGTCATAATTTTTCCTTACGATCCAAAGAAAATCTTTCCCTCCAATGTCCTGTGCACTCCTCGACTTATTATGATAAATCATTCTCTGTTCTTGGAGTAAGACTTTGGAACTCCTTACCCCAGTCAATTAGAAGTGCTCAATCCTTAAATGTGTTCCAGAAACAGATTAAAGAATACTATTTGTCTCTCTAACCCCTCTCACTTCCTCCGTCCTTAATTATGGTCTTTGATCTGCCTGAAGAATGTTGTCTTTTTAATGCATAAGTTTGTATCTTTATTTTATTTTTATTTGTCTTTATCATTATTTTTTTATTTTATTTTAGTGCACCCTACCCATTGCTCTTTTTCTTATTTTGTATTTATTTCTTCTTCTGGGTTGTCTGGAAGAGATTGCTATGTAGCAATAAGACCGCCCTTTGTATTTCCCTCAATAGTTGTTATTTTTTATTTTTGATGTTATTATCTTTTAAAGATTATTATATATTAAAGAGTATTGTATTGTATTGTTTAAAAATTTCTGTATGGTTAACAGTATCACTCATGTAACTTCACCGGCGTATCACTCCGTTAGTAACGGTTAGGCTGAAGGGTACGTTAAAATAGTGAAAAAAGGGTTAAAATCACGTTTACTTTCAATTAATAACAATAATAAAAAAGAATATAAATTAAAATTACTTAAATTCTTATTCGATTATAGGAACTCCTTACATAGCACAACTTCTTTGTCACGAGCTCAATTAGTTTTCGGTCACAAGTTGAGATCACGTTTGGACTTAATGAGCCATGTTATACTGCCTACATCCACATCCTTGGAAAATAAAATCCAAAGCAAACAGTATTTGCAGATTAAGGCACATGGGGGAAAAAATGCAAAACCTTTTGAAACCAGGGCAAAGGTTTTGTATAAAAAATTTAAAAATAATAATGCATATGATTGGTGTCGTTGCGTTGTGATAAAAAGAATAGGCAAAGTCACGTATATAATAAAGGACATATACATATACGTCAGCAAGTGTAAAAAAAAAAACACAAAAATCAAATCAGGCGTGACCAAGGACCATGTCACAATGAACAAGAAAATTTTGACATTGATTTTGACCGTCAATATTTAACTGATAGCACCACGGAAGAAAATATCACTATGCCGGCCTCAGACGAGCCGCAAACTACCTGCGGGAAAGAGCAATTGGTGCAAAATGACGTAAACTCCACTAACGTAAACAATGAGTCTAACATATCGTCGGAGTCAGTTTCAATGGACACTGTGGCTAATCAGCCTATGGCCACCAATGCACGTAACAACCCCGCGTCTAGACTTTGTTTACGCCCCTTACCTAAGGTGGACTATCGTCGTTTCCTTTAGTTAAGTTATGTAGTTGTTAACTAGGGGGAGGAAATGGTGGGTACCTGTGTACGACTACGTATAAGTATATTTGTCATAGTAAGAAATAAATCAGTGTAATACTTGCAAGCAGTAGTTTCACTCGTGACCCTATAACGCATGCTTACCAATCTGCATCGCAAATTATGTTAATGGGGAGGCGTATGGGGGGTATATGGCCTAGTCTATAGACGAGGACATATATTCAACATATCTATATTTGACAGGCTGGTACGAATAACGGCTGAATCGGCTTTATTGAACCCTTATTTTAAAATTACGAATTTATGGAAAAATAAAACATAATAATTTAAAATTAAAAATTTTGTAGTTGTGAAGTCGATTGGACTTCAATATAATATATTATTAAGAAAAACTCAAAAACTATTGGTCAGACCTTGATGAAATTTGTATGGGACCACATGAGAAGCACCAGCATGGTCATGGAAATCGGTTCACGTAGAAAAAAGTTATGAGGTAACACCACATGAGAAGCACCAGCTTTGTCATGGAAATCAGTTCATGTAGAAAAAAGTTATGAGGTAACACACATAAAAAAACTTATAGTCGAATTGAGTACCTCCTCCTTTTCGAAGTTGGTAGAAAAATATAAAGATAAATATTACATAACGTCGTAAATTACGTAAAATCAAATTTGTTCCGAACCGTAGTAGTAGCTCACGGGTTAAGCCCTCGTAAGTAATGGTGCTTGAGTACAGCTTTACCACATACTCAGTGAGAAAACATTGTGAGGAAACCGCCATGGACTACACCTAGTTCTACCCGGCTGGAACTAGGTGTAACCGCACTTCGTATTGTATAACAGCTAATAGCCGAGGTGCGGATACACCTAGATGTAGCCATTTAATACAAGGTATAGTCGATTGCAGTTGATATATCATATATAATTTATAAATAAATATCTGGGCCACCTTAACCACACCCTACCCAACTGTTGCTGATATTGATACATTTTTCCGTATTTTTACAAATTTAACAGTACACCTAAATTGAACCAACTACACACCTAATTCTAGCTAGCTAGAATATATATATCATGATAAACAAGGAAAATATGTGAAGAATCATTAATCTGTTCATAAATTGATGACAGTTAAAATATTCCAGTTACCTCTAGACCAGGAGTGAGTATTTTCCCAGGTGTCGCTCCAGGTTTCGGCGCTTCGGGACTGCTGAACAGTTTCTTTTCCTCTTCACTGTAAATGAAAAGTAAATACAATTACGATTTTATTAAAAATTATTGGTAAATGTATATTTTTAGAAATGGATAAAACCGTACACTTTGTCCATTTCTTTGTCTTCTACGACTGCTGGATAGACATAACAAGGGAAGTGAATGTAATGCGCACCTTTTGTCGATTGGTTTGGCTCCAATATCCACCGGTCGTGATATGTCACCTGCGACCTTTTCCGTTGCATCCAATTGCGCTGCTTCTGCATTATAAAAAAAACAATAAAAACTTGTGCTTAGTTTCTACAAAATGACTGTTGTAGCAATTTACAAAAAATAGACAATTATATAAGTCATTGATAATCACATGACCGTGAATCTCATTGACGTCAGCGGCACCTTCCTGATAATAACAGGTTAAAAGTTTGGATTTTTTTTCGAGCAGACAGCCCACCTGATGGTAAGTGGATACTGTGGGAATTAACGTTGCGTAGCGTTGTCACCCCTGTGGACAAGATAGAATGTCTCTTATCCAGTAAAATGTGTCTCAGATTCTTTACAGTCACCATATGAAACAAAGCAGTATTGAGTTGCTATTTTATGCCCATATTCTGTGAGAGCTTGGTCCTTTCATGATCGAGCTAACCCCTTTGTACTACGACCATAATATAGCTGCAACATGGCTCTACCACATATAATAAGAGATATGAATATGTAAATTTCACAACAGATAAACTTACCAATTGGTTTATTCCCAGGTATGCTCTCAGAAACTAGTGTAGGTTGAGTTTCATCTGTAAAACAGAAATTAATATTGTTTTTTATTTACTTTTTATATATTTATTCCCAAAGGAAAGAACAATGGCAGGATTTTACAAGACCAGTCTTCAGATGTAATTGAAAATTATAATAACTAAAATTATCTTTTTTTTTCTTAAAATATTTACGGCCTTCATTAAAATAAAGTAAAGCCACCAATTTATAACAATAAAGTTCAACTTTTTCCCTTTTTGGTGACAGTGACATTTTAGAAGTGTTGCAATCTTAACACTTTTAGCACCAGGATAAGCATCCAGCGACAATTTCGATGTCGACATCTCGAATAAATTGGTTGTAATGGAGTCAACAGACAACTTAAGATTATATAGAATATTTCATTCCTCACAAAAATATACAAATAGTTACATAGTTCAAAAAGAATAAGTGACAGTATCCTTATCATCAAAGGTGCAGTCGGCCAGCTTGAGAAAGTTGTTAGTGAACTACTATTGTGAACCACTCCTAATACAAGCATTTTGAGCTCACTTGGAGTGTTTAGCGGGAGTGTTAGCAATGGTATAAACGTTACTAGAATTCTCGTTTTCAGAAAAAAACAGACTTACCCTTATTTAGTAATTCTGGCGGTTTCTGTATCACATCAAGTGGTTTTTGCGAAATATCTGAAAATGAATATTATATATATAGTATTGTATTATCAACGAAAGTTAAATGGCTAATTAAATTGGTAACTAATTGTTTTTTGTGATAATTACAAAATAATCAATAATTTACCATGCGGCTTCTCAATATCGGGTCTGTGAGCTAAATCGTCAGGCTTGAATATATCCGTTTTTATTTTTATTTTTGGTTGATCTAAGTCACCACCCTGCAATGAAAATCAAAATTTACAAAAAAATACTGTTTCAAACTACTAAATCTGAAAAAATTAAAATATTACTACCTATTATAATTAATTTGAATTTAGAGTATGTTTAAGGTGTTATCTCAACTCCCTATTATCTAAAGTCCCTACTGTCACAAGTACAAAACTGCTATAATAAAATTATAAAAGCTTATAGGAAAATCTGCAACATCTACCATATTTTTCAGACTTTGCTCCTACCTATGTTATTTTAGTAATTTTGATAATTGAAATTTATTACACAAGTAATGGTGATGGACAAACACCCTAGTAGTAAGTGGACATTGTGGCCTGTAGACCTCTATTCTTATTTAGCATCAAACTGCAAATGGATTGTCACCTTTGACAGCTGAAATGGAATACCTCATTACTAGTAAAAAGGTTGTCCAGTGTTATGATACAATGTATGCTGATATTCTGTAAGAATATGGTGTAGAGGGGCGCGAGGAAACGGCAGCCTTTATTCTACTTGATTCTTTTTTTGACAATTGCCATCTACAGAGCTAAGTATCTTAGATCGCCGAGGTTGCTCCCTGAGGTTGAGTAGATGTGGAAAAATTGGAGAACTGTTCTGGAAATTCTATAAGCTCTAATATTATGTATCATAACTTTGTAGCTAACAATAAATGACTTTGGGAGCCAAATTTTACAGTAAAATAAATAAATATTTAAAAACTGTAATGCCTCTTAATTCTTATACCTAAATAATATAACAATGGGATTAAATAAAAATATCTGTAACATGTTGGCTTTTTGATAGATAAATATATATATATATATATATATATAAATGTGATATTGAAGCTATATTTGTTTTGGAAAAGAGAGCCGTACGGGCGATTTATAATCTAAATTGTAAAGAAATAAACATATTAACTTTGGCATTGCAATATATTTAATAATATATAAAAACATAAATAGGTTTAATAAGAATAAGAATGTTCATACCTTAAACACTAGGAACTAACATAAGCTTGTAATGCCAGTTACTAGACTCCACAGAATTAGTAATTCATTTATGGGGCAATGTATACGCTTTTACAACAAAATCCCAGAACATGTTCAAAGTTTGTCAATAAACAAGTTTAAAAGTTTTATTAAAGAAAAACTGTATAAAAAGGGTTATTATAATATCAAGCAATACATGAATGAAAATAACCCCTGGGAATAAGGTGATCGCCACCATGCTGGTTCTATGAAAATTCATTTAAAATTGTATAAACAAAATTATTGTTAAGTGAAATTATGTTTAAAAAAAAGTCCCACTGGGTTTCTTGCTGGTTCTTCCCAGGACAGAGGTATTTTCCAAACCAGTGGTAAATAAAATAATGACTTTCAATAAGTATTATGTAATAATCCATATTGAATAAAAATCATTCTATTCTATTCTATTCTAATACTTAGTTTTTATTTTTTTAATGTTTAATAAGGTTGAAGTTGAAAATGTTTTTAATAAAGTTGCAATATGCCTGTGGCAGAGCCACATTGCAGCTTTATTATGGTTACAGTATGAATGGGTTGGCCATATTCTCACAGAATACTAGTGTAAAATAACAATTTAATGCCAATGTGTTTTAAATAGTGAGTGAAGAGAACCAGAGACTATTTTAATGGTAATGAAGTGTTCTCTCTCACCAGCAGGGCTAGCATGAACAGGAAACAATTTTATCCCCGGAGAAAGGAGAAAATGTTTATCTCCTCGCTTAGTTTTATCCACCCTTCGAGGATGGGCACACCGGTGGATATAATATCCACAGTAGATAAAATGGGAGATAGACTTACTTAGATAGATTTTTTGTATGTCCAGTGAACTAGGATAAAATTGTCCCTTTCAAATGCCAAAAAGTATAATTTTTTATCTTTTATTTGGCTCCATGCCACAGACGGGGGATATATGTATACTTGTTATGTCAAACGGGGATATACTTATCTCCGTTACCATGCTTTAGCATAAGGACAAGATAATTTCATCTCTTGTCAGTGAATATAATCGGGGGATAAATTTTTTAGTCATAGCCATCAGGAGTGACAATTCATCTTTTAGTTGTTGTCTAAATGTTGTTGATGCAGCAACATTTTGATTCTTAATTAACAATATATATAGGTGTCTAAGGGTCACAGTACCCAACTTATCATGATTTGACTTATCTTCACTTCAGGAATTTGAGCTAGTTTGTCACCTTTATATTATAAAAAAAAAACCTACCATTATCTCAGCATCTTGATGTACCCGTTTTTGTGCATCTGCAGGTTCAAGTTTGATCTCCGGCTTTAGATGTTTAACATCCAGTGGCTTCTGTGCATCCAAAGGTGCTAGAAGTTGTGGTTGCGGTGCCCATGTTGATTTGTGAATCACATCTGCTCCATACCCTTGTACTACAATATAACAGATTATTATTTTTTTGCTATTTATTTATTTAGGGACTTTTAACCTGTGGAGTTGAAAAAAATAAGTAATAAAAAATTCAAACAATTTAAAAGAACTATCTGAACTTTATATAATGTTCAAAATCACCAACATTTTGTTTATTACTGGTATAGTTTATACTTAGCTGGTAGCCAGACTCAGGTTTTAATTACTAACTTTGGGAACCAGCGATGCACTGCCATTTTTGTTATAATAGATATTAATGAACCCTTGTGTGGTGGTTTTGTGGTGACAAAAATAAATTTTCATTTTCATATAACACTATCACATATAATTTGCAGCACTGATTATGAGATCTGAACTTGACCTGTGCAAAGTTAACCACTCAGGTCCTGATATCAGATGTATTGGTCTGGGACTAGACAGATTATAGTCAGTTTTAAGGTCTATAATAAATCTCTAATTTAAGGTAATTTAACAATATAAGGTCAAATGCAGGAGTAAAAACACTACCCTGGTTTCTTGTTTAATGATGATAATATTTAAGTTATTTGTATTTCAAACATTGTTTGTCTTTCTTTATATACAATTTACTTAATTTCTTTATAATAATAACAAAATATTTATGTATGAAATGAAATAAATATAAATACCCATATGTGATTGTGGCATATGTAATTGAGGCTGTGGAGGTTGCTGTGGCGGGAAACTCTGGTGATGAGCATAGTTTTGATGTGCAGGTGGTGCATACGACAGATTTTGTGGGGCATAACCTCCGGGTGGAGGAGGTCCATATGCTGCAAAAGCGTCAGGTGGCGGATAATGTGTATTATATGCACCCGCATACGGCTGGTAAGGTATCTGATGACCATTGTCTACAAAAAAAATAACAAATTATGCAAAATTTAACTTTATAATACTTTTTCCCGCTCAAATGTAACGAAACTCTACTTACCTATATAATTAAGCGGTAAACCATTTCCCTGGACAACACCGTGCCCCGGTTCACCCTCCATCCTCAACCGCTTTTGATTCATAGCTCTTTCTGCCTCATAATTCATCTTGGACACTAAAAACAGAAACCGCTTAGAGTGGATCCGTGGGATATCGTATAAAAACCCTTTTGTACGCCTACATCTCAACAAAATAACACTTATTCGACAGTTTTGTGATAACTATGACAGACGCCAACCGGACGCCAGCATTAAACACAGGTTATACGGTCCGTAAAAGCAAACACAGCGTACCTTTGTTGGTCACTGATTATTATTGATTTTAGTTATTACTAGAACTTGAAACCTCTATATTATAATAACACATAATAGACCACAATATTATGTCAAAATAACTGTTGCATACGAAATATGCATCAAATTATCAATTTTAATGACAGTAAAATTAGAAAAAAAACACAAGTGAAGCGTTCGTATATTTTTTATACTTTGTTTCTTTTTTACATATGGTAACTCTGGATCACGAAAGCATTTTTAGGCATTCTAATATGTACTCTTTGCTTATAGAATAGAGTACCTACCTATAGTCCACATTTCTTGTTTTAAAGTCGGAGATTAAAAAAACAAACACGTAAAATATTAAGTAATACCGAATACCGAAGTGTAGGATGGCCCCCAATAGATAAAGTAATGACCGGGGTAAGACATGCAAGAGATCGAAGGATGCAGATGGCCCATGATCATGTTTTTTGGTATTCCTTGGGAGCCTATGTTCAGAAATAGGCTTGTTAAGGGTTTAAGGGCTGTAATGACGATGATGATGGATTACAAAAATAACTATACTGTCGCATTAAATAATTCCTATTAATGAAGTTGTAAGTTTAAATAAATAAGGAATAGGTACAATAAAATAATTAACTAAATAATTATACAGCAGTGTACCCATTCAAATATACACATCCCCATATCTAATACCACAGACTGGTAATGGAGCACTCTGAACGTAACACCATTGGGATTTTTTATTTATTTATTAATTTTCCTTATTTTTAATTAATTGTTCGTTGTTTCTTCATCTTTTAATTACCTATTTATAAATAATTCAACAAATTTATCCTTAGGTCGGCCCCCCTTATTGTAAATTTTTACTTATGTCTCTTACATTAATTATTTTTACTAAATATCGTTTGTTGGATTGCTATTGATGATTGTTCCATCATAAATACAACTTAATTGTTAATAATTGAACATAAAAGCAAGCGCAGCGAGCTCGAATATAGGGGTACCGCACTCGGACAGGTTAGGCCAGAAGGGGATGGCGAGATCGAGTGAGCGAGCGAAGCGAGCGAATAGGGGCGGCTAGTGATGATGTTGGGGACATTGCGAATGTGTTTCGCGAATGTCATACCGTGGTCGAATGTGACTCCTAGATATTTGGCTGTTGATTGCCTGGGGATCTGGCGGCCATACAGGTTGATCGTACCTATCGATTTGTTGGGGTTTTGTTTTGATGGATTCAATTCGATTCTCCATAAGTGGAACCAATTGCTTAAGCGGTTGACGGCTATTTGGAGCATCTCGGTGAGGATCATTTTATTATGATGGGTGACGAAAAGTGTCGTGTTATCGGCGAAAAGAGCATGTTCACTACTGGGTCCTTCGGAATACAACTTTGAAGAGTGTAAAGAGACGTGAGGAGAGGACGGAGCTTTGAGGGAACGCTTTGTATAGCGAGTAGCCCCTATTCAATAGCAAAAGTGGCGATCGGCAAGAAAGACTCTGATGATGTGAGTGACCCTATCAGACATGTTTCGATTATACAGCTTGTAAAGCAAGCCGTCGTTCCAGACTGTCAAATGCTTTTGCGATATCGAAGAAAAGGGCACCGGTTATAGTGATTCTATGACTTCTTTTTGGTTGAATCCTTTCAGAATGTATTCTGTGAGGCGATGCAACTTGTGCACACAACTGGTGCACGAGTGTTCGGGTCTGAAGGCGAACTGCTCGTCTGGCAGAAGTTTGTTTGTGAAGATAAATTTACGAAGGCAATTCAATATGAGTAGCTCGTAAACTTTCCCCAGTGTGCTGAGGAGACTGAGTGAGAGAAGTCTGTAACTGGAGGCTATAAGATGCGCAGTTTCCCCGGTTTCGGGATTCCTATTACGTCTACCTTTTTCCAGGCACCTGCGAAGGAGCAGATTTGAATATGCCTACTAGGAGGCATACAAGCGGCGCGGAGAGAGATTTTAGTACCCCGTTGCTAATGCCATCGGGACCAGGTGCTGATTCCTTTTTGAGACTTTTTATTACTTCTGTGACTTTGTCGACAGTCACAGGATCTAAGGGTTCGCCGACAGGTGGTAGTGCAGACTTACGTTTGACCTCCGCTTTGACTTCTGAAGGTGAGCTTAAACCTCTGCAATGGGAAACGAATGTACTTGCGCAGAGCAACGGTAGGGGCACTACGGGGCAGGAGTTGGGCTTACCTTGTGCTAGCACACTTCACTGAGTCTGATAGATAATACATGCGGTTGGCCCGAGCGTGTTTTATAGTACTTATTTAACTAATTTTAAGTGCAGTTTTCCTAAAATATAATATCCATAATGGTGAATTACTCTTATAGTTATATGAGTTACTAAGTAAAATTGAATCCAAATGACGGCTATGTTTATGTTTCCCTCATTATTTTTTGATAAAATTCTTTGTCGGATTGAAAATACACTGCATAATTAAATTTAACAATCGAAAACTGAAAACATATATAAATAAAATTGGTAAGTCCAATTGGGCATGCCCTAAGCGCATTAAAAAAATTACGTATAACATGATTATACGGATTTTTTTTATAGTAGTTTAAATACACACATGTTTTCACTAATAATCTTATTATACTTCCAATTTCCCGATAATTTTATGTCAAACTTCAATAAAAGTTTGGAAAATCCAAAAGTGCATGACTCATAATGCTCATATAGGAGTTAAAAATTAAAAAAATGTAATTTTAGTTTTATTCGTCAAAGAATTCCAGTAGCAGTGATCAAAGTATACTTTCAAATCACTCTATCTAGTCTGGAGGTAAAGTCTCATCATAACTAACAAAACAAGCCCAAACTCGGCATATCTTCTTCTCCTCGTTGAGAAGTTTCAGTAGCAGTCATCAAAGTACACTTTCAAGTCACTCTATCAAGTCCGGAGGTAAGGTCTTCTCACAACTAACAAAACAAACCCAAACTCGGCACATCTAGTTCTCCTCGTCGAGGAGTTCCATTAGCAGATACCGAAGTACACTTTCAGGTCTATAAAGTCAAAGACGTATAAGTACATATATTTATATACAAATGCGTGCTTTTAGCACAACGAAATATTGTAATAAAAATCTGTGATTATAATAATAATAATAATATCTTACCTTGGTCAAGTATGTATCGAATTTGGTTTTTGAAATATTTCGTATTTCTACGGCGATCTTTTTCGCTCACTCACGACGGTGGGCTGCCATAACAATAAAACTCCCCAATTTTCTCTATTTGTTCGTTTTTAATTTCCTCATGTCATTAATATCATGTATTTGTAATGTAGTTTTTATTTTGTTTTAGGTGTTTCTGAACCGGACGAAAAAAAATGATTTAGACAATTTTGATATGTGCACTATAAGGCATTTAATTCAATCGTTTTACGTCGTGAAGAAAGAGATTCCTACCATAAATAAACTTTGGTTGGAATTGTAAGCTGATATTGATTTTAAATATGGCAGAACATCTTTGAGGAGTATTTTAAAGACTATGGGCTACAAATACAAAAGTTTCTAGTCTAAACGAAAAGTATTGATAGAACGCAATGATAATGCAACTTGAAAATGTTATTTATGTTGACTAAACGTATTGTTACGAGCTTGGGGTTCGAGATAATTAAAAACTGCCGAGTGAATTACCAAAATTGACTATTTAATTTCACAACACTAATTATAACTTAAAATCACACTAATAATAAAACACAGTTCGCCGTTATTCCGCTTCGAAGTATTCTCTTGTATCGCCAATTCAATACTGCCTTAGTCGTGGTCCATACCGGCCTTATATAGGGCGTCAGACAGTTTCCAGAACCTTCCACTGTAGCGACATCTAGAATGTTCGAGTACATATCGGTCCCGAAATTTCTGGAAGGTTCTCGACTCTCCTAGTTCTGCTACTCGACACTAGAGGGTGCTAGTGTAACTAGTGTTGCCATATACAAGACATTAATAGTGGCGCGCAACACTTTCTTTTACTCGACACTAGAGGGCGCTAGTGTAACTAGTGTTGCCATGTACATGACATTAATAGTGGCGCGTAACACTGCCCCCTCCTAAGACATGCTCGTCCCGAGCATTATTGGCCCCATAATAACGCGCCAGTCGATCCACATGGACAATCTTAGGAGTACCTCTGACACCTTTCTGTATCCGGTAGGTTACGTCATTGATCCTTGTCACAATCCGGTACGGTCCGTCCCATTTAGCTTGAAGCTTAGGAGATTTCCCTTTGCTGCGAACTGGATTGTGTAACCACACTAGTGAACCTTCATCAAACCCCTTGTTGTTCATTTTGCGGTCATACCGTGTTTTCATCTTCTCAGACGTTTGCTGGCCCGTCTGTCTGACGTGTTCATAAATGTCATTCATTTTGTTCCGCAAGTCATTTGCATAATCGGTTATACTGCGTGGGGCATCAGGTGGTATTCCGGTGATCAGGTCTGCAGGCAGCCGCAATTCTCTCCCAAAGTTTACGAAAGCTGGTGTCACTGATGTACTTTCGTGAACAGTCGATATGACAACAAAAACGGTTGTATGTGCCTGTCCCAGTCTCGTTGCCGTTTTTCCACAACTTTTGCTAGGTACCTCTCCAATGTCTGATTAAATCTTTCTACCATTCCATCAGATTGTGGGTGGTAAGAAGTTGTTCGTGTTTTCTGAGTATCCATAACTCGGCAAGTTTCCTGGAATATTTGAGACTCAAAATTCCTTCCTTGATCGCTGTGAATCTCTAAAGGTACTCCAAAACGACAGAAGACTTCATGAACTAGTTTATCCGCAACGGTTGAAGCTTTTTGATTTGGAATGGCGAAGACTTCTGGCCACTTAGTGAAGTAATCCATCACAACCATGAAATATTTGTTACCACTTTCAGTTTCTGGAAACGGCCCCGCAACGTCAATGGCTATCCTCTCCCATGGTGCACCAACATTGTACAATTTCAATGCGCCTCTACTACGAATTTGAGGTCCCTTTACAGCCGCACAACTTGTACATTTGCGGCACCAGTCCTCGACATCGTCACGACAGTGGACCCAGTAAAACTGTTCTCGGATCTTCAGGAGAGTTCGTTTAACTCCCAGGTGGCCTCCTGAACAACCACTATGGTACAGCCGTCTCCCCGAACATTTTCCCATTTACGGCACAGGACTCCATCCTGAATCAGCAAGCTGTCCCATTGGGCCCAATAGCTTTTCGTGGTCGAACTCATTGCTGAGACGTCGCTCCACTTGGGCTTAGGAGCACTGGCCTTCATCCATTCCAGAATCGGCTTAATGTCCGAATCTTCCTGCTGTGCATGTTGTAGGCTGTCCTTCCACTCATTGCTGAGCTGGTCTGTCCTGAGCATTCTCACAGATACCACTTCCTTACCCTCTTGCCTAGTACAATGCTTGCAATCTTCAGGGCAAGGTCTTCTTGACAATGCATCTGCATTGCCATGAGATTTCCCGCTGCGATGTTCGATCACAAAGTCGTATTCCTGCAGTAGTTCAATCCATCTCGCAACTTGTCCTTCCGGATTTTTGAACTGCAATAGCCATTTCAGTGCAGCATGGTCAGTTCGTAAGTGGAATTTCCGCCCTAGAAGATATTTGCTAAATTGCTGCAAGGACTTTACCACAGCAAGCAATTCCCGTCTTGTGACACAATAGTTCCTTTCCGGCTTTGACAACGACTTGCTGAAGTACGCTATCACAATCTCTTGATCACCATTCCGTTGAGACAACACACCGCCAAGTCCTATATCACTTGCGTCTGTGTCAACTATGAATTCCTTGCCCGCATCAGGGTACCCCAAAATAGGTGTTTTGCACAGACGGTTCTTGAGCTTCTGGAATGCAAGTCACACAAATATCACAACTTTCATCCCAGTAGAATTTTCGCTTCTCCTCGGTTAGCTTGTGCAGAGGTTTGGCTATATCTGCAAAGTTCTTCACAAATCGCCGATAATAAGAGCACAAACCCAAAAATGCTCTAACCTGTGTCTTGTCTTTTGGGACCGGCCACTCCTTGACAGCAGCAATTTTCTCTGGATCCGTGCGGATACCTTCTTCCGACACTACATACCCCAAAAAACTAACTTGCCGTTTGAATAGTGAGCACTTCTTTGGACTCAACTTGAGGTTGGCACTCTGGATCTTCATGAGCACGCGTTCCAGGTTTTGAAGGTGTTCCTCAAACGTACGGCCTACGATGATGATGTCATCCAAATAGACGAGACAGGCATCTCCAATTAGCCCGGTAAGTACAAGCTCCATCAACCTTTCAAACGTTGCTGGAGCATTGCACAATCCAAACGGCATGACTTTAAATTGCCACAGGCCCTTTCCTGTGGAGAATGCAGTTTTCTCCTTGTCCTTAGGGTCAATTTCAACCTGCCAGTAGCCACTTTTCAGATCCAGCGTACTAAAACACTTTACACCTGTAAGCATGTCCAGCGTGTCATCAATTCTTGGCAAGGGATAGCTGTCCTTCTTTGTAACGTCGTTCAGGCGGCGGTAGTCAACACAAAACCGCATGCTGCCGTCCTTCTTCTTTACCAGCACCACAGGTGAACACCATGGACTAGATGAAGGTTCAATAACACCATCCTTCACCATTCCCTCAATCATGGTATCCACTTCTTTTTCACGTGCTACAGGCAATCTTCTTGGCCGCTGACGAATAGGCAATTCTTGTCCTGTGTTTATTTTGTGTTGAACTAAGCCAGTCTTTCCTATGTCAGCTTCGTTTGACGAGAAAACATTGGCGTACTTGAGTTACAACTTCTTCGCTTTGACCGTTTCATTCGGGGAGGGAACGCTTCGACAGTCTTCTAAAAGTGTGGTCACTCTAGTCTGTCCATCCTTGCTGGGGGTCCCAGTCGATAGATATTTGCACCGACGCAACCAATCCACTTCCTCACTAGTACCAACCAATGTGCCTTTTTCTATAATCTGTTCCTGATCACAAAGGTTCAGCACACGTACTCCTGAGATGTCGGCGGTTCTGACCAAGGTTCGAGCCACTTACCATGGAAGGTCATTGTCTACCCGTTCCACGAGTACACAACGAAGAGTTTGCCCAGGATTCCGTGGAAGTCTAACCGGCACAATCGTTTCCGATCTCGGCGGAAGAACAATCTTCTTAAGGCTGTACACATTCCCTGGTAACGCCCCTTCCACGAAAAGTTCCTCTTGTCCACATTTCAAAACACCTTGCTTAACGTCGATCTCACAACAATTCTTCCTCATAAAGTCTAGACCCAGGATGCAGTCGTCCATTATATCAGCCACGATGACATTATGCAGGTAGATCATGTTGTCTAGCTTAACTCCATCTCCTTCTCTCCACGGACCGGTATGCGCTGACCGGTGGCAGTCACCAAATTAATGGGTTCTCGGTTGTATGCGGAGTCCCCAAGAAACCGACTTATAAGTTGGGAACTGACAACCGTGCGAGAGGCTCCAGTGTCTATGGTCAGTTTACACGACGTTCCGTTGACTTCGCCCTTGATGATTAGGCTGTTCCCATCATGGATTTGTGAGATCGAAATCTTTGGGGCTCTTTTAACATCAGCCAGCACCCGCCCCGCAGTTCTGGCTTTTACTCGTTTCCCTGCTGCTGCTGGGCGGTGCTATTATCCGCACTACCCTCTCGAGATCGATCACCTTCCCTTTCTACAGTTCGTTTAGGGCAGCTGGATCGAAGATGGCCCCTTTCCCCACAGCCGTAGCACCTAGGGCTGTAGCCCATATTGCGGTCCTGAACTGTAGCTGCTGCAACCTCCCTGACGCGGTGGGAACGATGATCCTTCCGCACGGCTTCCACCTCCAGTGCATGGGTCAAGGCGTCTTTAAGCGTCTCGTGGTGCCCGAGCCTCACAGCAGCTCTGACTTCAAGGTCGCGGATGCCGTCGATGAATGTCTGCACCAGGTTCCCTACAATCCCCTCCGAACGGGTTCCCGCCTTGTCGTGGCGGGGGGGCTTAGTAGCCGTGGATTGGTCACCCACGGTGAACAAAGAGGAACCCCTTGGCTGGCCCGTGGTGTAGGGCCGGCCCGAGGTGGCCACTCCGAGTGGGCTTGACGAGCCCACTTCGGATGTGTGTTGGTGGGCTGCGGTGAGAGGGGAGTCCGCACCCTCTACCGCTGCAGCCGAGGTGGAGTCGCGGAGGAAGAGGAGTGTGGGTATGGCGATGCGCCACTCGCCCTATCCTCCGCGACTCATACGGGGCCGCACCGTTGATTGATGCGGTGGTGGTGGGGCTGCGGGGGGAGAGGAGTGCCGGTATTGCGAGGCGCCGCTCTCCCTACCCTCCGCAGCCGAATCTTGGTTGGCGGCGGAGCCATAGACCAGATCCGCCGCTGGGGTCAGGAAGGCTGGTGCTACTGAGTGCTAGTTTTTCCTGGCCCCATGGCCTTCGCGCATCGGACACGGGGGCGTCCGTTGCGCATGTGAAATTGGAGGCCGAGGAGGAGGGCGCGCCATGTGTTCTGGTGCGCCTTACCGGAGAGGGAGATGGGGGAGGAGTAGTCCTCTCCCGAGGAGGGGCCGCCTTGGAGTGGCCAGCGCAGGTGGGGCCGCGGAAGTGTGCGAAAGCGTTCCCGTGGCCCTGCCAATATGCGACGAGGGTGGAACACCATGGGGTTTTAGTCGGTGCGAGTCCGACATAACCCGTCCTTGCCCCCGCGAGGCGGGTATGCGTAGGCATTTCCCCATGTAAAAAAAAAAAAGGTTCCCTACAATAAGCGCAGGTACAGACTGGTACGCTTTTCGAACCAGCTTCTCCACCTCAAGGGCCCACTGCTGCAGGTTATCGTTACTGCGTTGCACGCGATCTTTGAGCTGCGCACGAAAGACGTGTTCCAGGTGAGCATCGCCATATCTCGCCTCCAATGCCTCAAGGAGCTGCTCGTAAGTCACTTCCTTACCGAGAGTTTCCAGAACGATTAAGGCCTGGTCGCGTAGGCCTAGGGTGAGAGCAGTCATGGCCTGACTTTTATTCCAGCCGTTCGCTTTCATGACAGCCTCGAACTGGATTTTGTAGGCCGACCAGGAAGAACTCCCGTCAAACGGCGGCACTTTGAATCCACGTAGCGAAGGTGTTGTAGCTACCACGGGAACTGTAACTCCTTCCCCAAGTTTGAGGTTGTCCAGCGTTTTCTTAACGTCAGCCATCACGTTGTCAACCCGATTGTACACTTGGTCGATTCGAGTTTCAGCTTCGGACAGGCGGTTGTCATATCGTGCAACCTTATCCCTCACCTCCCTTATCTCTTTCCCAAAGGTAGCGTGAAGGTCCTTCATGAGAAGTATCTGCTGTTCCTTATCACGTTTGAGCTGCTCTTTCAACCGGCGGCCCTGTTCCTCCTGTCCACGCTGCAGCTGCTCTTCCAACCGACGGGCCTGTTCCTCTTGTCGGCGGGCTTGCGCCTGCAGCATCATCATCAGAACACCTAACTCATGTGCTGCAGATACAGGAGCTGCTGACGGCCCGGCCTCCTCGGTCCGCAGCTAGCCCTCCGACGTTTGCGGCGATGCATTACCAAATCGTCTCTGGTCCGTCTCCAGCTGGCGTTGACTTCGGGTACGGATACCCTCCATGTCGTCCTTTGGTAAAATCGGCATGATTTGATCCCACTTCTGACACCAATTGTTACGAGCTTGGGGTTCGAGATAATTAAAAACTGCCGAGTGAATTACCAAAATTGACTATTTAATTACACAACACTAATTATAACTTAAAATCACACTAATAATAAAACACAGTTCGCCGTTATTTCGCTTCGAAGTATTCTCTTGTATCGCCAATTCAATACTGCCTTGGTCGTGGTCCATACCGGCCTTATATAGGGCCTCAGACGGTTTCCAGAACCTTCCACTGTAGCGACATCTAGAATGTTCGAGTACATATCGGTTCCGAAATTTCTGGAAGGATCTCGACTCTCCTAGTTCTGCTACTCGACACTAGAGGGCGCTAGTGTAACTAGTGTTGCCATGTACAAGACATTAATAATGGCGCGTAACAGTATATACACGCTTCATACCATCTTTAAAAATGTTGGCAATCGGAGGAACAGCCTGGTATTTTTGCTTCATTCATTGCTAGCGTCGCGTCGGTGCAAGATGGGTAGTAGCTCATGGTGGAGGTAAAACTGGGTTTGTTGAAAACGGACTGTTACTGTTCAGGTCTAAATCCAAATCGAATGACTATCATGCCGATATTAATTCCACTAACTTCATGCGGTGGATGAAAGAATAAATTTTGCTGAATCTACCAACGAATTGCATTGTGCTAATGGATAATGCGTCATACCACTGCACACAAATTAACAAGGCGCCTACAATTGGCAATACAAAAGCAGAGCTCCAAGAGTGGCTTACAAGAAATGGTATTCAATTTGACGATTGTTGGACAAAATCGCAATCATACAAAGTAATCAAAAAACACAAAGGAGACCCACAGTATAAAATAGAATAAATGTTAAATGAACATGGACATGAGTTTCTCCGTTTACCGCCTTACCACTGCGATTATGGTATTTAACCATCGAAAAATTTTGGTATTTAACCATCGAAAAATTTTGGGCAATAGTAAAGAGGCGCATTTCAGAGAAAAATGTCACTCAAGCTCCTAGTGAAACAGCTGCTATTACTGAGGCAGCGTTTAGAACAGTAACGATAGAAGAATGGCTGAATGTATGTCTACATGTAGAAAAAATAGAAGATAAATATTTCGAATTAGATAGGCTGATAGATATGGAAATGGATAACTTTGTAATTAATATTACAGGCGACACATCCGAGTCTACTGATGAAGACTCTAGCATGGATTCTCATGAAGATGTGCGAATGGAAGGCGTTGACCCACTGCAGGACCATTGTTACACCAAATTTACAAATAATACTAGGTATTCAATAAAATACTTACAGGGTTTCCATGGACTTTTTATTTCGTTCTTTATAATAAATATTACAATACTATTTCAGTCAGTTCAGTCAAAATAACTTTAAAAAAAATTGATATTGACAAAATATCAGTGTTCATTAATCTTAGTAATAGCCATTTCTTACAAGTATATAATATGTACCTGTAATTATGTAAAAAAAGTTGGAAGTTAAATTTGACCAACTTTTCGGTTTTCGATGGAGCTGAAATTTTGCATATACGTTTAATTTAGAAGACAATGCATGGTTAGACAAGTGACGTCATTCTAAATCCAATATGGCGGACTCCTAAAGCTTGTCAGCTTCCGGCGAATCTAAGAGTAATGTTATTAAATGTGCATAAACAATTGTTATTAGTGTTTAGTCGTTGCTATATTGATTGACAGTTGTTTTATCATTTATGATGCAATATCTATAGTAATAAGAATATTAATGTTCATTATTAGGTTATTATTTAAATTGTATAAAAGGCCGCTGTGACGAATAGATCAGTTAGTTGTTTTGTAACCGCCAGTAAGTACTAAGTAAAGGTGTGGAGGGTAACTCTGTCAGTTTGTGAATGTGACTACAAAGTATATATATACCAAGTAAAAATATCGTTTATCTGTAAAAATATCTTTATCTTTCCCTGGGTTAACAGATACTGTTCCATTCGCCCCGTTATGGGCTTATTTATATTCAT